ACTCTTTCCCAGCGTTCAGACTCCGTGAATGTTAAATATAGGCCTAGTATGCTAAGCTCCTTTACCCTGTAGTGGGAACTCCAGAGACTCTTTCCAAATAGAATGATTCTGCCTGCTTAGAGGGCATACTTGAAGAGAAAGGAAAGCAGAGAGAAAGAAAGGGAGGGAGAGATGGGAAACTCCACTTTTCAGCAGGCAACATCAATGGTCCCAATGGGAACGCCCTTCCCGCCAACCATTCTTGCAATGTATGGATTGTAATATGACCGCCTTACATGTTTCACATTAGAAATAGGATTGTAACACTGGCATTAAAACCTTCCTACATCCTATCCAACCTCCCGCCCCCTTACATCTATCAGTCTCGTTTTTAGACGTTTCTAAACATGTCTGCACTTAGAATGAGACATTCTTCTCTCCGTCTTATCTCTAGATGTTTAGCACTGTGCATTGGCCTCAAGTTGACATGAAAATAACTGACATATGATGTTTGAAATTGAAGATGTTACCTATAGAAAGGTGTTGATGCATGGTATCTTTTTGGGTTTACTTGGTTGTTACTATGAACGAATAAATAAAGAGTGATGCCAGAACTCTGAATTTCATTTTTATTAAAACATACATCTGTGTAGTTTATGAATGCCATATTTCCTCATAGACCTTGTTTTCTCGTAGTGGTTTGGAGCTTATTACAGTGTTTTTGTATGAGTGAGGCCATTGTGAAATACCTGACACGGCCAATAAGGTGGCAAACAGGGTCATGCCCAGCGGCACACAGCATGTGTCGTATCCCAATGCTGTGTTGCTGCTGTCTGTCTCGCTTTAATTTACATGTAAGCTAATCCTATTTGCATTAACTTTGGGCATGATGGCTTCTTTGCAGTTTTGAATTCTTTTATTTTTCCAATCTATCAAGACCTAATCAAGGCCACATTAGCTTTTTGGCTCAGTGTTGTTCAGTACAGTACATTAGTGTGGTAGTGTAATGGCTAATGTAAATAACAGGTGGAGCCGAGCTACGCATAGCTGTCGTGTCTATTCGTCTGTCTGTTTTTCCATGTTTCACAGTTATACTGCTGCTTCAGCATTTCAGAAGGTGTTCTGGGCGGGAAACTTTCTCTCCACCTGTCCACACACACATTAACACGCTTGTCTCTGTACATGGCTTATGATTAGGCCCTTGAGCAAGCATAATTGTGGGCCACTGAGATTGAGAAAGCAAGGGGGTTCTGGGAATGTAGTATGTGTGTGAATGTGTGTGTGTGTGTTTGTGGGGTGGGGGTGTACATGAGGGGTTTCCTCAGCAGATTTGTTTACTGGTAATTAATTCACCTGATTGATACAACAGCTGTTGACGCCATGGGAGGGAAAGCGAGGGAGCAATGGAGAGAGAGACCCCTCGTCATAGTAGCTTCCCTATGTTACACAGTGTAGATTGCCGTCCCAGCGCCCCATTGATTAAAAGGCACATCTGTCAGCCAGCACGGCTGATTATGGCTGCCAGTCCTCACTGGCTAATCTTTATAGAGTCTACTTCACTGACAGAGTTATTGGAAATGGGGGATGTTGGGAGAAAGAGCGGAGGAGGCAATGAGTGTGTTGAAATGCAGTAAGTTAGAAGAACGCTGATATCTTGGATTTTTATTTGGGGGATGTTTAAAAAAAATCACATTTGGACTAGTGATGTCAAAATAATGAAATTTCAGTCAAATCTCTATTCTAGTACTATTCAGTCCGCTCAAATCAATGTACTGTTATATAGAGATTAACATATTAATGTAAAGATTTTAATTTAATATAATTTTTTATGTAATTTTGTCTAATGTTTAAAAAATACTATATTGTATATACTATTATTGTGTTAAGTCGAGATTCATGCTTACAGATTAAACTTTCATGCTTTTCCATGCCACTGTATCGCTCTTTCAGCATGTGCTGAGTAGCCAGTGACTGCTTGTTACCAGAGTACATGTGCTTGTGTTTGTCGGCTGGTGATCTGGGTTACCCTGCTCGTCTGAGCACAGATAAGGTAGGATCCATTCCTCATCCTGGATCCCTGCTCCAGATCGATGCCCAGATTAAGCCTTTCCCCCGCCGTCTGCTGCCCAGCCTAGCCCCACGATTGATACTGATAATTAAAACAGCAGTGGCTAATTACTTCAGAGGGTTTGGACAGTGTTATGTGTGTGTGTGTGTGTGTGTGTGTGTGTGGATGTTAGGTGAATGTATAGGCCACCAATATTACTCGTGGATTATTAATAATTAATTAGGTACATTTATTGCTAAATCTATGATCTGCTTTCTTTCTGATGTTATACAATCAATAATGTACCCAAAATAAGGATGTACATGTTGTTGGCAGTGTAGGATGCTTTAAGAATATATATATATATATATATATATATATCATTATTTTGGGTATATATAAATATATGTGCGTGTGTATATGCATTGTGTATATTGTTTCTTATTAATGTAATGTAATTTTGATTTTAGTTAAGAAAATTGTCATAGAATGTTTTTTTTTTAATTTTATGAAATTTTGAATGTTAAAGCACAACTGAAATCTGAGGACAAAAGTCGCAGTTTTGTTAAAATTTGCTTGAAAATGTATATTAAACAAATATTATAGGCTGACTTTTTCAGGGGTTTTTTTGTTTTGTTTTGTTTTTTGTCACAAGCGAAATTTCGGCAAAATCTTGTGGGCAAAAAACCCTCCATTGTCAAATCTGTGTGACCATCTTGAACCCGTTGCGAAATCTGTTTGGGAAAATCTTTTCCCCCTCACGCAAAATTCCTACTCAAACAATGGTTAAACGTGAATGAGCCTTAATGGTCAAAACCTTTGGAAAGATCCGTTCATGTATAATGTTTTTGCTTTAAGGGAAGAGGGCAGGACAAACATGCAAAGCATGGTATGAGAAGGGTTAACAGGAACTGGAATGTGTCTGTTTATGGGGTCGAGAGGGAGAGAGATAGCAGTAGCAAACAGCCAGGCCTATCAAAATCCACAGGCTCCTTTAAACTCCATCTTCATTCTCCCCTCTTTCTCTCGCACTCCCTCTCTTTCGCTCCCTGGCCGGGCAAGTGATTGACGGCCTGAGGGTTTTAATGGGCACCGGAGAGCGGGAGAGCCAAGGTCTGGGTTGTCATGGCAACAAGCCGATTGGGCCCTCTGCCGCTCTACCTGAGTGAAGCGGAGTCACGCTGCGTGCGAATGTGTGTGTGAGCTACCAATGACTCCTGTTCCCGCTGATGGGCCGCTGGTCATTCTGGCCAGTGATTTTCTTTTAGTTCATCTCTGTTTTAATTAAATTATTCATCTGCACACCTTCTGTATTTTCAGTCGTTTATATGCTGTTGGAGCCATTGTGCTGGTTAAACCTACACCAGCCACTGTGTAAACAAAATCTCACCGGCCCGATCTGTCACTCAGCCCCTCCCTCTCCTTAACCAAACACACTCGCCAATCCCTCCACTGCATGCAAACACGGTGCCTGGCCATACCTCACCTGTTATCTGTCCAGCGCCAGCCTCCGGCCCCTTTTTCTTACCTCATTTATGAGAAAGTGCGTCCTTGTATATAGATTATATGAAAATCTGTGGAGTTTCTGTGGTGGTTGTTGCTGCTGCTTGTGATTTGTCATGTTTGCGACAGTGTCTTTAAGGGATAGTTCATGTAAAAAAAAGAAAATTCTGTCACTTACTCACCTTCATTTAGTTCCAAACCTATGTGCCTTTATTCCATGGAACAGAAATGCAGAAATTTTCAATTGTTCATGCTGCATATAGGGAACAAAGACTTAAAAGTAGTCCATACGACTTAAGCTCTATATTCCAAGTTTACTGTAGCTATACGAAACTTTTGTGTAAGAAACAGACAAAATGTAAGTTGTTCACATCTAGGATGATACTATAACGATAACTATAAAGTATTAATAATCATTCTAACTCTATGAGAATATAGAATTCCACACCACAACTATTATAATAACAGCACAGAGCAGCGTTATCATTGGAATCACCGCAACTTTTTTTTTTCCAGCTTATGAACAATGAAAACATTGACAGCATATCAGAATCTATCCAATTTTAAAAAGCATGAGCATTTCAAGTGGCAAATGACAAAAATGCAGCACAGTTATAATAAACACAACTTTATTGTCTATTGGTGTGAATGCTAATGTATATCTTTATAGTTATCTTTATATTTATAGTTCTTGGTCTGAACAGGCCTCTATTCTCTAAAAATGTTCATTTTGAGACATTTGAAAACTGTTAACGGAACCCGAAGTCATTTAAAACATTTAAAACGGAACCATTTCTTGGCTCTCAAACTTAGGTGATGGTGGGATGAAGCCTTGAAGGAATTTTAGTCTTTCGATTTACAGGTCGACTTGTCTATCCTTTTGGTGTGTGTGACTATATGTGATCTTGAATGTGTATGTTTATGTGTGTATGTGGCTTTAGGGCTTAATTTGCTACTACATATGTGTGAGAGCTAAAGACAGAGATAATCATGTACCTATGTCTGTGGATGTTGGTGCATGGAACAGTGCCCTTTGCCCTCTCAGGGTCAGCGGTGAGTGTCTGGGCTATTAAGGTCAGCGGCACTGAGGCGATTTACCCTCCTCCACCCAAACGAGAGCAAGGGATCTGATTACAGGGTGGAGGAGGGGGCGCTGGGTCGTGTGTAATCCCTGTCTACCCCTTCTTTATCGTCATGGGAAAGACACGGCTGAGTTTGGCTTTGTCTGGGGTGTGGGGGACCCAGGCTTCAACCTAAACAACTGCTCACATATGTGACGAGAGATTCTACTTTTATGTTGTTGTATTATGGAATTGTCATTGGAAAAAGTGAAATTATTTAATGTATTCTATAATACATACAAACTTTAAATGAATAGTTTGAATGGCTAAAAGGTGGAATTTGGTTTGGAATTTTTTACTATTTTTAGAATTTATTTTCTGACCAGGCTTTGCTTGCTTCTCTGTTTCAGAGTGCGGCAGCAGCTCCCAGTCCTGTGATGGGCAACATGCCGCCCAATGACGGTATGCCAGGTGGACCCATGCCTCCCGGCTTCTTTCAAGTAAGAGCTGCTCTCTCCTCCCCCATCCTCCCATTCAACCTCCTCCTTTAACCCTGTGCATTAAGCTTTTACCATTTTTTCTGTCCCTCTCCCCACCCCTCCTTTCACTAACCCCCTTTAGTTCTTTTAATCCCTGTCCAGATGTTTCTTTCCCGCTATCTCTCCCTCTCCGTATTTCCATTCATTTCCATTTTGCGTGTCTGAATTAGTAGTTCAGTACAGTAGCAACTCACACTGACACAAACAGAGAGTCATGGCCCCTGATCTGAGATCAGTGTGAATGTCTCGACAGTTTAATCCCTAAGGCCAAAATGGGTAAAAACATGCGTGCTTGGTTGTAGCTCTTTGGCAAAACATATCTAACAACATATCTTTGTATTTTAAATTCAAGGCTGGGATTTGGGGAAATGCTTTGGGGCATAGTTCCCAAAGTCAAGGTGCCTGTGGGAGTTCCTCTGCCATAGTGATCTTTATTGAGCTATTTATAGTTAGACAAAACTAGTCACCTTCCTAAATAAACACACACTACCTGTGGAAGACAAATTCTGTTAGTCAAACATTATCTTTTATCATAACCCTGAGTCCAACTTATGTAAGCCACTTAATCAAGCTATTATATCAATTAATTTCAGTTTTTTTAATTCAAGTCATATACAAATTGCATCTCTATATTCTATATTTGCTTCTAACTTCAAAGGATTTAACATCTAGTAGAATATAAGATATGTTTGATCGATCATCAGGTGCAGTGGATAGCAGGGCAGATGGAGTATATATCCAAGATTCATTAGATAATAAAAATCTGATACAGTGGATTTACTGTCGAACATCAGATGAAGCTTCCAGTAGAATAGATAGAGGATCCAGTAGAGTCAATAAAAGATAAGATATGAGATAGAAGAGGCGGTGCAGAGTGTATGTATACCATTAGATTCATTAGATAGAAAAACTGATACAGTGTATTTAAAATCTTGTCAAACATCGGGTAGATTAGATGGAATATGGAACATCTTCCATTAAATGGAACATCTAACTCTGATAGAGTAGATAGAAGATCAGAGCACCTGATAGAGCAGCAGATAGAGGACCCAATGGAGTCAATGAGATACTTTGACAGAGATGAATATCAATAGGTTAGATAGAGCATCCAAAAGAGTAGATGGAATGTCAGATAGAAGATAAGGAAAGAGTGGCAGATAGAGCATCCCATAGAGTGTATATGTAACAAGATTCATTAGATCGAAAATCTGATAGTGTATTTAACATCTTGTTGAACATCTGATAGATTAGATGGAACATCTGATAAAGCACCTGACAGAGCTGCAGATAGAGGATCCAATGGAGTCAATGAGATGAGAAGATCCAATACAGCAAATTGAACATTAGATAGGTTAGAGCATCCAATAGAGTAGATAGAGTGGCTGATAGAGCATCCTGTAATCAAGTATAACACCAGAGTGGCAGAGAGAATAATGCTTTCAGATTGTTGCAGATTGTCAGGTAGAATAGCTGATAGAGCATCCTATAAAGCAGTAGATGCTGAGATGAGCATCAGGTAGAGCATCACATGGATTGGCAGATAGAACCCTGACATGGTCTTTGAGTCGAGGAGGAGAGTGTTAATGTTGTATGAGCCGTGTTCAGAGCAGGGAGCAATCTGACTGTTGGTGAGTGACATTGCATTCTATAAATAGTGCCTGTGTGCATAAGAGCGAGAGAGAAAGAGAGAGAAAACTAAGAAAGGGAGGAAGAGGGAGGACTTTGTGCTCCACTGCAGTAATTCCCTCTTGGTAGCAGCCCAGGGCATGGCAGAAGAGAGGCATGGAGAGAGTGAAGACAGAAAATGAAAGAATGAAAGATGAAGGAAGAGAAGATGGCAATGTGGCAACAATTGCAAAAAGAAAGGCTCCTCCAGGCCCACGTGCGTTCCTTGTACGCTCCCCGATTCCACGCGACCAGCGGCTGCTGTGGTCTGGTGACACCAATTATATCTTGGCATATATCTTAGTGGCCAGTATATCACTCTTTCACACCTCTCAAGAGCTAACTGCTGCTCCCTCCCACTTGCGTCGGCCACGACTGCTGGACACAGTTGTGCTAATAATTGGAGCTGCTCTTTTTGTAGCTGTTTTTAATAGAATTGCGATTGGAACAGGTTGTGATCCATGCTGGTTCTGCAAACAGAATCCTAACTTTGTTGTTTCGAAAGGCGGACATCTGTGCTTTGTCTCCTTCTTTGCATGTCTTTTGGTTTGTTGTTCTTCTTTTATTTCTCTAATTATTTCTTTGTTGGTCATAAGTGCACATATATCTCAGAAAACTTTTTGTGATTCAGTCAAAAAGTCAAACAAACATCCAAGTTATCAGTTTGGGACGTTCTAATGAAGAACTCCCTAAATCTGAATAGCATTTATTGAATAAATACATGACTAACTTGCCGAATTGCATGTTGTCCAGTCATGTCCAGCAAAAAAGGAGGGACAAAAACAATTCTATAAGATATACTGGTACTCTAGTGAGCAGTACACTGTTGCAGTTAAGTTGAAAAAGCATTTTGGTAGTGGAGCTATGCAGCCATGTCTTCAGCGCAGCTCCAGATGCAGTGGTGATAATTAACACATGCGACCGCAGTAGCTGCTGTGTGATCTGCGTGGTCCTGCGAGACGGGGACGAAGGTGAAGAGGGCTAAACCCTCATGTACACCCTCTCTCTAGACTCTCCTAATCTGTACCTCGCAGGCCCAGAGTCCCAGCAACCTCCTGCAGAGAGACGGAGAGCGAAGGAAGAGAGTTTAGGGAGAGAAACACAAAGCTTGCGCGCTGGCGTCTGGCCCAGATCTTGGAAATTTCATATGATTTCTTCTTCTTTTTTTTATTCCCCTCATTGCATGGGTCGGCTTCTTCAATAATCTTCACGTCGAAACTCCACTGCACCAGCTCCTCTTGGGAGGACAGACTAGCAAGGGGGAGGCAGGGAGGGAGCGAAGTCAAGGAGCAAAAAAAAGAGAAATAGTTTCAAGTTTAGCTGGAAACATCTGAAATGGATGGGTTTGTTTTGAGGGAAGAAGGTGGGAGAATTTCATCAGCCCTTCTCCCACAAAAACCTCTTGAAAACCAACAGAACACTGAGAAAAGTGAAAGACTGACAGACTCTAGAGAGGGAGGGTTCCGTCAAGGTTAAAATGACTGGAGGATCGTGTTTATACTTCTGCGAGGTGTAGGAGTCCTGGGACATTGAAATAGGTCCAGCACTGTACAGCGTTGTAGTCCTGTTGACATGGGAATGTCCCAATACTCAAACAAATCTCAATATACTTTCTATTTTGGTTCATGTTTTCTTTCTTCCCAAGTTGTAGCCTTACGGATGGTTTTGATTGAGTTTGCATCATTTTCAGTTACTTCTGAGGTCAAAGTACCTTATATTGACCTGTTCGTCAGCTAGAGGTGTCTTTGTCAACATCTAGATCACGTTTGGCATGTAATTGTCACGGTTTGTGACAGATTTCCTGACAGTTGTACTCTTTGCACAGAAATCTAAATAATTAATTGGTTGCATCAATTGGTGTGACTTTAAAGTCAAATTACCTCTCTGCTACGCGCATGTTTGCAAGATTTCTTGACATTTTTGACAACTAGAGCTTTTTGATGACGTTTAGATCCTGTATGGTACGACACATTGCATTTATCGTCTCGGTTTGTGACAGATTCTGTAGCAGCTGCACTTATCAGAATAATTACTCCCAAGACTAGTGAAAACCATCCTTCTGAAGCAGCACACCCTCAAAAACATGAATTGCACAATCCCATGGCATTTGCCAAAGAAGTGGTTGTAATTTTTTTTCGTAATGTACACAGAGACAACAATGAAATATGCGTTGTGTTGCTGTTCCATGCTTTGTTTTGCTTGGTACTTTGTGTCCCGGCAGTCACAAGGCAAGTAGCTACACATTGCCCCCTTTCGGTCAGGAAGCGGCATTGCTTCCCCGAAACACTTGGACTTGTGGTTGCTGCTGTCCTCTATGCCACTGTCCCGCTAGGAATACTATGTGCTGTTCCCTTTCTCGGTGGGAGGGGCTGCTCTTGATGGGCTTGTAGTTCGGTGCCAAGCCGTTATCTCCTTAGCTGGGTAGAAAATGATTTTATTAATTGCTTCATTTAACAAACACCCCCCTCCTCAACCAAGACACACACACACACACACAATCCAGCCCAAGTTGTTCCTCAGTCACTCTACAGGGATGTGGTGCAGGAACAGGCATCTCGGTATAGGCCATATACCTCTCAAACTTACCCATAATGGACTCCATTGAGAGACAAGGAGGAGGCCTTGTGGTGGAGCTCTGTTATGGGGTTCAGCAGCTGCCCAGCCCTGTAGGAGATGTCCTTGGCTGGGGAATAGAGGGTAGATTTATTACTAACCTAGGCTGGATTGTTATTAGAGACCATTGGAATCATCAGCTTTTTCTTAAACTTCCTTAAACAGTGAGACTTTGTTGGTCAACCAGCTTCAGCAAAGACCAATTGAATGGCATGTTTGTAGGTTTTCAAGTGTTATATCTCTTAATTTTTCTCTTTTTCGTCCCTTTCTCAGGGCCCACCCGGGTCACAACCATCACCACACTCACAGCCCCCTCCACACAACCCCAACAACCCCATGATGGGGCCGCACGGCCAGGTAAGACCCTCGTCCCCCTGTTTTCTTGTACTTTCTCACACATAACCTGTGGAATAGACACAAGTGTAGTATAAAATTTAAGGAGCAACTGTGGCGCAGCTTTCAATTCACCCTTTCCGTCTTCACACCTTTATTCTTCTTTTCTTTCATTCATTCCCAAAACTGACCACCTTTATTTCTGGAAAAAGTCTGCTTCTTGACCCTTTATTTACATTTTACACATTTGGCAGAAGCTTTTATCCAATGCAACCTATATTGCATTCAAGGTATACAGTTTATCAGTTAATGGGAATCGAACCTATGACTTTAGAGTTGGTACCATAATTATAATAATTAAATAATTATTATTGATATAATTATCATTAGATTAGATTAGACTATTTTAATACAAGAATAGATTATTCTAAGCGACTTGCATTCAAAGTATACAATTTATCAGTTCATAAATTCCCTGGGAATCAAACCCATGATTTTGGTGTTTCTTGAGCTACAGGAATGATTAAATTATTAAATCTAAGTAAGGTATATATCAAATATGTACAGGTGCATCTCAATAAATTAGAATGTCGTGGAAAAGTTCATTTATTTCAGTAATTCAACTCAAATTGTGAAACTCGTGTATTAAATAAATTCAGTGCACACAGACTGAAGTAGTTTAAGTCTTTGGTTCTTTTAATTGTGATGATTTTGGCTCACATTTAACAAAAACCAATAAAATAAAACCAACTACTTCAGTCTGTGTGCATTGAATTTATTTAATACATGAGTTTCACAATTTGAGTTGAATAATAAATGAACTTTTCCACGACATTCTAATTTATTGAGATGCACCTGTGTATTATATTATATGATATGATATTATATTAATACTTATTTGAAGGATAAAATCTAAGAAAAATCTAATCTAGTCAGTTACATTGTTGGACAACTGGTTGACTATCGTGACCCTTCCCTAGATAGAGCACAAAGCAGTACATTACTTCATTCTCTGTTCTCTCTGAAAACACACACAAATGCACACACATATTCCTCGCTGACAGTGACGATGTTGCCGAATAAATAATGCAGGCTGTGGCCCGGCCCGTGAGGAGTGGAAGTTCATCTAGCCCGGGACTCTGCAGACCTGGTCCCTCCCTACACCCTGCACTCAGTCCTTCATAGTCCATCAATATCCTATTAATAATGCAACATGCACGAACACACAAACATGCTCTTGCGTTTACACATGCAAGCATAGACACAGGCACTCTAACACAAATTCGCAAACACCAACGCACCCTTCCGAATACACAAACTTGCTGAAACAATGAAGTTTGAACAAGCAGGTCAATCCTAAAGGTTGTTGGATCAAACCCCTAAGAAAATGACTTATTACTCTGTGATGTAATAAAGCTTTGAGCGATAGATCATTTTTATTTTGATGATGTTGCACTGGATGACGTCAACCACAGCGAACTCTCTGGTTAAAAATCCAGTGCCTCGTAACTGTGTATGAAACCTGAAATATGTTCTTATTTTACTGTGATCATGTGGCATCGGGCAGTGTTTGTGCTTTCAGTGTGGATAGACAAATGACTTGTTGCTGTAACTTGTCGCTTCCCGTCTGGTTAGAATGATGTTCAGTCTTACTGCTCTCATGTCCATCCTCTTTCTGTCTTGGTTCTCGCTATGAAGTCTTGTTTAAAATACCATATATTTCCTCTATTAAACTATCTGATAGCAGAAGCCTCACCATGTCAGCGTAGAGAGAACTGATGTTTGAGTTTTTCTTTTTAGGCTCAAACAGATGTCTTTTATACAGTGTTATTGTGCCCCCTGCTGGTTACTATTGTACTGCGCAGCTCAAACACTACATACTGTAACATTTCTTTTAGTTTGTTATAAATCCGAAAGATTTTTTTGTTTGTTTTGTTTATACTATAAATCGCTTTTGGAAAATCAAATATAAACATCAGAGGTATAGAGTATGATTTCTATCAAGTAAAGCAAGAGTTAATTTTCTGAAGAATTAACAGCAACATACAGTATGTTAAAGGGTTAGTTCACCCAAAAATAAAAATTAGGCTGTGTTTCACTCACCCCCGATGCATCCTAGGTGTATATGACTTTCTTCTTTCAGACGAATCCAGTCGGAGTTATATAAAAAATTGTCTTTGATCTTTCAAGCTCTATCGTTGTACTCAGCGGGTGTTGCATTCCTTCAGTTCAAATGACGTGAAATAAAAAGCACCCTTCCACAAAAAAAAAAAGTGTCTCACACCGCTCCGAGGGGTGAACAAAGGCCTCCTGTAGCGAATCAATGCGTTTTTGTAAGAAAAATATCCATATTCAAAACGTAATAATCACTTGAATCTAGCTTGCGCCAACAGTTGTACACAGAAGCAGTTCCAGGGGAATGACGTATGGGGTCAGCATTGCGCATGCGCCGGTGCGTCTCGTGAAAACCCAACATTTGTTTACAGGATCAAAAGAAGCAAAGTTTCCTTACTTTAGCAAAGGAAAACAAGTCTCCTCTTGGCTTATATCGAAATCCTCCGACATTCTTCTTTACAAATCCTCGTTTTGTACATCCAATTAGTGACCGTTGTTTTGTTTCGATCTCTCCGCATGCGTCACTTCTGAGCGGCGCATGCGCAAAGCCAACCTCCATACGTCATCCACCCAGAGCTGCTTCCGTGTACAACAGTGAGCGCAAGCTACAACGGCGAGTTATCCGTCACGGTGTGCAGCCCGCCTCGCCCGCTGTCACAGTTCACAGAAGCGTGGCAGACGCTGCCAGGGGTATCAGGGTGGGTTATGAAATCAATAAAGAACGGCTACACGCTTCAGTTCTTCCGCAGACCGCCCCGTTTCAATGGTGTGTTAATGTCCACTGTACGGGAGCAGAATGCCTCAGTTCTGCGAGAGGAAATACACAATCTTCTCGCAAAACGCGCAGTAGAGACAGTGCCCCTTGCAGAGCGTGAGAGCGGCTTCTACAGTCATTATTTTCTGATGCCAAAGAAAGACGGCGGACTCCGCCCTATCTTGGATTTGAGACCGCTGAATCGCGCGCTTTCGAAGCGCTCGTTCAAAATGATTACACTAAAGCAAATCCTCTCACACAACAGACCGGGAGATTGGTTTATCTCTGTGGATTTAAAGGATGCTTATTTCCACATTCAGGTAGGGGTAGCATTCGAGGGGATAACGTGAGCTGCATGCCTAAGTGGTTTGGACCAGGTCGTATACACCCCTGTACTGACGTGCCACCAATCCAATGCTGCTCTCTTATCAGCTCATCACATTGTTATGATATAGTTCATCACGTCTTTTAGGACTTGATCACCATCATACTCTTATTTGATATAACTCCGACTTGATTCGTCTGAAAGAAGAAAGTCATATACACCTAGGATGCATCGGAGGTGAGTGAAACACAGCCTAATTTTCATTTTTGGCTGAACTAACCCTTTAAAGTACTACTGTTATGCTAATGAGAGGTTAGCAGTGGCGTCTTTTGATTGACAGCCCCTATGCTCTCTCCCCATAGCCTTTCATGTCTCCACGGTACCCAGGTGGACCCCGCCCATCACTCCGCATGCCAAATCAGGTACTGACCCACCCACAACCCTTCATTTCTGCAGTTTGCTATTGCTGTTTTCTCTGCTTGGCACTTATTTCATGCTCTCTCTCTTGGTTTCAGCCTCCCGTTGGAATCCCAGGGCCACAGCCGCTCCTGCCAAACAGTTTGGACCCCACCAGACCGCAAGGTACCGCACTGCACCATAGACTTTTACAACCAGCTGTGTTTGAGGAAATTTGCTATGGAAGAGTTCCAGTCGCTCAGGCATTTGTAAAATGATTGTGCTTCCTCTACCCCATCAGGACATCCAAACATGGGCGGCCCGATGAGGATGAACCCACCCAGAGGAATGGGAGGCATGGGCCCACAGGTTGGCTGACATTGTTGTCAATCAAACAGTAGTGCTTAGATTGGGAACCCTGTACAGGATATGATCATAGAAACCCTGGAAATATAAGAGAAATGTAAACATACCTAAATAAAATGAGTTTAAAGGGGTCATATGATGCGATTTCAATTTTTCCTTTCTCTTTGGAGTGTTACAAGCTCTTGGTGCATAAAGAAGATCTGTAAAGTTGCAAACACTAAAGTCTCAAAACCAAAGAGATATTCTTTATAAAAGTTAAGAGTTAACCACACCCTCCTAAAACGGCTCATTCTAACACGCCCCCACATGTCTACATCACAATGTGGGAAGATTTGCATAACACCGCCCAAATGTGCACGCAAAGAAAGAAGGCATATAAACACATTTCATTACACCAAATACACAAAATAATGTTATTTTTAGCAGCATCATATGACCCCTTTAAATAAATAAATACAAACATACATATAATCATATAATTGAAAATATTTATAGAAGATTTATTTCTTTATTTATAAGTATAATTACATTATTATTATTATTACTATTAATATTATGTTGTCTAATTAAACATAAATCTAATAAAAGTGAAAGGTTTTGATAGAAAATATTTATTTAGTTTATTATTTATTGTGCATTAATATACAATATGTATCTGGATATTAGATATTCTGTTTTAATATCTAATTAAAAATATATAAATACGTGAATTAAAATAAGCCATAGAAATATTTTAAATGAAATTTAGTATTACTTATTATTTAATTCCCCATATATAACATATTATGTATGTTACTAAATAAAACAGCATTACAATGATACAACATATACATTTTATTTATTATTTATTATTATCCAAATATAAATAAAGCCTTATTAAAAACTAAATAAATCTATTAAAAATCCATGTAATGTTCTTCATTATTTATTGTAAATAGTAAATAAATAAACAAACAAGCAAGCAAGAAATGTATAAAGATTGTTATAGTAAGTAGATTTTGCCACATTTTTTGATCAATGAAATAACAAAATACTATATACACTACCGGTCAAAAGTTTGGGATCAGTAAGACTTGTAATGTTTTTTAAAGAAGTCTCTTATGCTCATCAAGGCTGCATTTATTTGATCAAAAATACAGAAAAAAACAGTAATTTTGCAAAATGATATTTATTTATAAAATAATGGTTTCTATTTTAATATCCTTTAAAATATAATTTATTT